GACGCACAGATCAGCACAACTGGTCACAGCACGAGGTCAGTCACAACAGAAGGCGAAGCTCGGAAAACAATGGACTTGTATTGGCACAAGGCGACGCCTTAACTGGTACAACTCAAAACCAGGAGTGGGTCATACGGGGGCGTCCATGGGGTTTTTTTATACAGTTTTGGGGTCGGGGTCGGGGTCAAGGTCACTGTTCGGGAGGAGAGGGAGGTGAGATACCTGCCGCATTGGATGGCTCCGCCTCGTGGTTCACAACGGCATCTGGAAGATAAAAGGGAAGGAAACAAGATTATGTACAATCAGAAATGCACTACACAGCCCCCTCTCGTGAAAGGGTTGTCCTCAGCCCTTCTGTATGCACTTCAACCTCCTCAGCAACAGATGGAATGCTAAGAGGCCTGCCGCTAACTATTCCATCGTTGTGTGTCGCGGGTTTCAGCCGGTTTTAGTGTACAATTTGGCTCTGGGTTTCTGGGTTTTCGCCGACGCGAGCAACACGGCACGTCGTGGGGCTCAAGGTCTCGATTACAATGAATGGTCCGGTCCAATCGTACTTAAACTTGGAAGGTATTCCCCGGACCTGCGTCATCGACTTCATCCAGACCCCTTCACCCGACTGTACTGGTGTTCCGTGAGCTTTACGATCGTAGAACTCCTTTGGTGGCGTTGTGATGTCCTCAAATGTGTACGTGCAAGACGATGACTGTCGCCGAGGGTTCGGCAAAGCTTAATTGCATAGTCCGTTGAGGTCCGTATGTCGTCGGCTAGCCGTGGCACCGTAAGATCGATGGGTAACCGCAATTCCCGTCCGGTGATCATGAAATGTGGCGATTGCCCTGTCGAAGTCTGCACTGATGCCCTGTATGCGAGCAAACATGTGGGTAGCGCACTATCCCAGTGTCGAGTGGTATGTCTCTCTATGAAAGCTTTCAGCAAGTTTTCTAAGGTTCGGTTTGTTCGTTCCATAAGTCCATTCCCTTGGGGGTGGTTTTTTTTTATTCCCAGTAACTGACACATGTCGGCCAATAACATACCTTTGAAGCTGGAGCCCTGGTCCGTGTGAATATATAGTGGTGCCCCCCAACGTGCGATCCAGGTATTAAAGATTGTCTGGGCTATGGTAAAGGAATCAGTGCGTGGTATAGGTTTTGCTTCACACCATTTCGTGAAGTAATCTACCATGACCAAAACAAAGCGATTTCCTCCATTGGACTCGAAAAAGGGACCAACAATGTCAATCCCCAACCGTTCTTTTGGGTATCCCGCCATGATGGGTGCCAAGGGTGCCCGGTTAGTGGTCCGTGGTGCCTTGAAACGCATACACAGTTGACAATTGTTGCGGAAATTCACTATATCCCTCACCTGATGTGGCCACCAAAACCTGGTGCGAACCGCTGCCAACATCTTCCGTTGTCCGGCATGTCCCAGCTCACGATGTAATTCCGCTAGCACTGTCTCGACAGCAACCTGGGGCACCACTATCCTCCTCGTATAGGTAGGTCCATATTAGAAATACAGGATGCCATCCACGATCGTCAAGTGTTCCCACAGATTCCACAAGCACAAGGTTTCCCAACTCTGGCCAGCCATTTCTTCTCGTGTCGGTTTAGTACTGTTTTCGTTTAACCGCCTATATATCAGCTCTAATTCCGGATCTATTGCTTGGCGTTTCCTCCAAACATCCGACTGCGCCGCCTGCAGCGTGATAGCCGTTACGTGAGTGTTGGAGCACGGGGGACACTCTCTATGTGCCCTGCCCTGATAGGGCATCCGCATTTTGATGGCTGCGCCCCGGGCGGTGGATACATTGAAACTGGTACTCTTGTATCTTCTCCTGCCATCTGGCAACTTGACCGGCAGCATCCTTGAACGACTGCAACCAAACCAGCGCCTGATGATCGGTTCGAACGATAAACGCTTTTCCCAATAGGTAATGGCGGAAATGAGCCAAGAAATATACTAAGGCCAACATCTCCTTTCGTGTTGTGCAATAGTTCTTCTCGTGTTTATTTAGACATCCACTGCCATAAGCTATGACTCGTTCTATACCGTTCTGATTCTGAGGCAATACTGCACCAATTCCCGTTTCACTTGCGTCCGTGTCCAAAACGAAGGGTTCAGCTTCAGGAGAAAATACCGGTGGGGCTTGGACAGGTGAGTTGGTCAGAGCCTCTTTAAGCCCCTGAAAGGCGTTATTACATTCCTCCGTCCAACGGAATTGATTCTTTTTCTCAGTCAACCGATGTAGTGGAGCTGCAACCGTGGCAAAGCTGCGTACAAATCGTCTGTAATATGAGGCTAAACCCATGAAACTTCTTACTTCATCCAAATTACTAGGGGTCGGCCATTGCTGGATCTGCTTAACGTTTTCTGGATCCGTGTGAACCCCCTTGCGACTTATTACGTGTCCCAAATACTGAACCAGTGCCCGTAGAAAATAACATTTACTCGGTTTCAGCCTCAAGCCTGCCGCCTGCAACCTTTAAAATATACACCGTAAAGTTTCGATGTGGTCTTGGAAATTCTGACTATGAACGATAATGTCATCCAGGTATACCAGGCATTTCGTTGGCGTAAGATCACTCAGCAGCTTCTGCATCAGGCTCTGAAACGTAGCGGGGGCATTGGTTAACCCGAAAGGCATGGTTTGAAATTCATACAATCCGGACGGAATTACAAAGGCCGTTTTCTCCCTGTCCTCCAAACTAACCTCTACCTGCCAATATCCCGACGCTAGATCCAGGGTTGAAAAATACTTGGATCCTGCTACGGCCTCCAATGTTTCGTCGATACGGGGTATGGGGAAGGCGTCCTTCTTTGTAATGGCATTCAATCGTCTATAATCCACGCACAACCTTAGGGTTCCATCCTTTTTTATACAATCACTACTGGGGAGGCCCAGGGTGAAACGGATGGACAAATGACTCGATTATCCAGCATTTCCTTAACTATGTTATCTACTTCGTCTCGATAATGTGCCGAGATTCGCCTGAATGGTTGCTTGATTGGTGCTGCGTCTCCCGTGTCGATATGATGTCTAACTACCTGCGTACGTCTCAGTTTTTTGAAGACCAGGAAAACACGTCTTGGTTGCCAGTCAGTAATTCTGTCAGTTTGTTTCGTTCTTCGCAAGAAGCAATCTCCGACTCATTCCCTAGCCGGTTCAATTGTTCCGGACTGGGCTGCTGAGCCTCCCTAACTGCACACACTTCGAAGTCCTTTGGCACGTGTATGTTGGCTGCAGGTCGATACGCAAACTGTTCTCCTGCAATATGCAAAATCTCGGCCGCCAAATTTATGAGACACTGATGGAGGGTTAGAAAGTCAACACCAATGATAGCGTCCCAAAGTAATTCTTTTACGACAATCACCTGGTGGGCGACCTCCTGATGGCCTATGCGAAAGATGGGTCTGGCAATACCCAGTGTCTGGATTTCTTGATTATTGGCGGCCCACAGACGTTGCGTCACCCTCTCCCCCAGAGTTATCATGGGAGCCTCCCAAACTAGCGTGCAGCTGGACCCAGTATCTATCAAAAACGTGCCCTTTATCCCGTTAATGAAGCCATCGACTGTTGATGAGAAGTTACCAAAAACAGTGGAAACAACTGGTACAGAACTAACATGGACAGACTTACTAATGGCTCCATTATATTCCTTCCTGGCCAAGTTTGTGTCCTTCCGCTCGTTGGCCTGTACCCAGCGTTCCGGTTGAAAACGTCTCCCTCGGTCCCGGCCGTATAGACCTCTTCTGGGTTGGTCACCGGGGTGGCCGCTAACGTTGGGCATGCCCTATGGACTCTTCGGAGATATCTGGGCCCCCACTGTTGCTTCTCTTTTTGCCGCCCGTTCGACCGCCTCGGGCAGGTTTCCCGGCGGGTCAAGCGAGAACATTTCTCTAATAGCTGCTGAGCTCACGCCGTCTATGAACCGGTGTAGTATCAGCATCTCCCTCACCGAGGGGTCATACCCGACGAGGGCTTGACGAGCGATCTTTTTCAGCTCCACGGAGTACTGTCGGACACCTTCTCCCGGTTTTTTGGTGCGATACCGGAATTCGTCCCTCAGCTCGCTCATGGTTTTTTGGGGCGTCAAAATTGTCCGCAAGACTGAGAAGGTTTCCTCACTGACTCCCTCTTCTGGGATCTCTTCGTGGACCAAGGTAAACGCCTCCTGGCCCAGTAGTGACAACAATGTATACCGGCGATGACCGGGTTCACATAGTTCCAGATATGGGCGCACTCTCGCCTGCCACATGTCGAAATTATCGCCGATATCAAATTTATCTGGTACTGGTAAGGACACAGGCGTTGGTTTATTTCCGGATTGCCCTTACCGCATCAGGGCGTCGATCAAGATGTTAATCGCATTAGCGGAGACATCAACTTCCGGTTTCTCAGGAGTCGTGTTGTCTGCCAGTGGTTGATATCCCACCGCTGCCACCAATTTTGTAATACACGTGGGGTCCGGAGGTCTGAAAATAAACGCACAGATCAGCACAACTGGTCACAGCACGAGGTCAGTCACAACAGAAGGCGAAGCTCGGAAAACAATGGACTTGTATTGGCACAAGGCGACGCCTTAACTGGTACAACTCGAAACCAGGAGTGGTCCTTGCAACGAACTGAAGGGAGAGTGGCTGTTCTAGTACTATGTGAGAATCATACATAGGGAATCGTTCTAAAATCAACCCCACTCGATTCAGTAAATTTCATACTACCTATCAATACATCAGTCGGAGAACCATAAATCGATCTACTTTTCATTGTAGATTTCAAATTGATTCACTTGTGATTAAAGAGCAAAAAGAAGCAATAAAATCACAGGCTGTCTCACACAAACCTAATTCAAGCTTATCAAAACGCTGACGTAATATCACAGAACGGATCCCATCAAACCGATGACACCTCACACGAGAGCATTGTGAATATCAACACAAAGAAGTTGGACACAGCTGAGCAGTCGTCCAGAGAGCATCAGTTAAATGAATGTTGTGAACTAAATATTATTGCTAGCTATCGTGATCAGATCCGTTTCCAGAAAAACTACAGCCACGAAATAATGAGCCAAATGCAAACCTTTTACTGATGGTTCTGAGATGGACCATATTGAGTTGTGCATTCCCAGTGCACAATAGTTCATTTCTTGACCAAATCGAAAATAATGAATAAATAAAACTTTGCACGTAAAGTATAATTGGAGCCCTAAAGTGATTTGCACATTCGTAGTGAACACGTATTCACTGTGGATGTGAATTTTTTCATAAACCTCCCACTATACAAAACTGTTGACACAATATGCCTGATTATCGGTGGGAATAATGTGAATGTCACATTGACAAATAGCGAGTTGTTCTGGCTGTCAGCACTGTGCACCTCGAATGGGAAAATCGATTTTCTCGAACAAAGATTACGACAAATTATCAGGGGCTCCAAGCGATTCGTTCTTAGAAGATATATCTGTTCCCAGCTTCGAAGAAGAGGAAGGCAATGATCACATATCAAACCATTCTGTTTTGTTGCAAAGCTGAGAAAATATATTCACCGTTTTAGAAGTCAATGACGAGTTTGAAAATCTTGTTCAACAACTCGACAACATACACCCAAATGTTCAGCCAATTACTTTGATCCATCCCACTGGTTCCCCTTATGAAGACTTTATGCCGTGTTGCCATCTCGGTTGATTGGCACAAAGTGGATCATTCATAAAAGGCATTGCTACAGTTGACAACTAGCAAATCAGAACAAAAACGGTGCCGAGCAAAGGTTTATAGTAAAACTGAAAAGGAAAATGTCAACTTACATACTATCCCAGTACAATGGATGAACTAACGTGACTGACAAACTGAGAATCAGTCAATATTCAACTAACCGGTCGAAATGGCCTGTGGATACGATGTGGGGGGTTTTGAGGGCTGTTTTGTTGTTGACGTTGATGGTTTGGGTTTTTGCGGGTGATGGGTGTTTTGGTTTTTAATTCTTCTTTGTTATTTTCTTTGACTATTTGAGAGTATTTGGGTTTGGTTAGCTTTTTTGATTTTGTTTTGTTCTAAAATGAGTAGTTTTCGGGTAGCTGAATCAAAATCATCAGCTAAGTCTCCTCCACAGGATCCCCTTGTTATATTTAATTTTATTCTCTCTTCGACCTTCACTGCATTCGCAAATCGATGGAAGCACTTCTCAGGTTCCCTTGGACACTCAATTTTACGGGAACCTCCGATTCTTTGTCAGTTGATTTGATGTAAAATCGCATATGCTACATTCAAAAATGTCCTCAAACAGTAGTTTGAGTTTCTTGACTTATTTGTTTAGCATCATATCTTCGGTGTATGAAAGGAATTTGGTGAAAGTTCGCTCACATTTAATTCGAGTCATCTTTCTTCAGGGTTGAACAGGGGGGCGAGTCCCACAAACCAATATCCTCCTCACCGTGTTACATGTAGCAGTAGAAAGAATGAATATATAGGTACACAGGTAGTAGACTTACAGGGATGAGATAAAGGAAGAACACCGTTGTAGTCAACACACAGAATACGCGATCTAAATGCACAAAAACTAATTGACCAACCACTCCGATTCGATCAAATGTGACAACACGATCACTGCAATATCCCACAATGTCTCCACCCAGCTGGTTCAGGGATCCTTTGAACCTCAATCGCAAAGATGTGAAGTACCTACTTTACTAAGTTTGCTGTACATTTTCACATTCCTGTCTGCTACTTGGTCTACTGAATTCCACATGGCTTGTTCAACACCCACAGGCAACGGTGTGGTAGATGTGAGTTTGCCATACGCAACACGTACCCCAACCAACGAGGTCCACTATGCTGGATATGCTTTGACAGAATATCCTCTGAACTGATATCCAATATTCTGTTTCTAACCTCATCATTGCTCACCCGATCATTCCATCCAATCTTACCGGTGCTACGCAATCGTCGATTGCCAAAAATCTGAAATAAACGAACATACTGCGCTAGTAGATTCCATGTCTCGCAACTATAAAACAGAAATGGGCGCACCGCACTTCACTGTTCGGCAGCACAGCACACTCAACCTATCGACTTCAGCGAGACATCACCTCAGTGTCACAGGTGATTCAGTCCAGTGTACGCCACTCGAGCCTTGGATATACGCGTGATCACCTCTACTACTACTTCTACTGCTACTACTACCGTGCTTCTGTCTGTATTTAGATTGATTCAATTTAATTTCATACTAAATCACGGTATGGATGGATGAACATGTGTAAACTTGGTTGCCAAGATAGAATGTTCTGACCAACGTAACCCGGTAATTATCGACATATGCAAAAACGATTAAATAGGGGAATATGATCAGTGATTATATCCTGAGTTAGATTTGGAAAGGGTTTTCATGTAGGAGTTCAATAAAAGTACCTTTTGAGAAAATACGTGTTGTCGTTGAGATGCGCGTAACACAATCCAAAGAACGCCAAGTGTCCAATTGTGGTTTTCAATACAGTTCTCTATAAAACAAACATGAACATGACCTCAAAACTGTACAAACCTCAACGGTAACCGCTCCGTGAATCGGAGTCAGTCAAATGCGAGCAGATTTAGGATCGCTTGAGGTTCAAGCGGTCAAGTCAACGAAATGTCTACGGGGACTGTGGGTCAAGGGTCATAGAACGAATGAACGCTCGCACCAGTCAGCGGTCACTTAAGGTCAATGTCCGGTGTTTGGTTCGGCGAGTAAGCAGGTGTGGCGCAAAAAGTTATTGAAAAAAATAAATTGGAGTGAGGGTATGCGGGTCAGATTGATCCTGAATCAGTGCTTCGAGTTTGGTTGTTCTGTCGATTACACGTGTTTTGCAATTGCGCATGGAGGAGAATCACAACGGAAATTATTTCATAATTGGGAGATATCGCGTTTCACTTGGTACAAAAATGAATCCTGCTGGTGACTGCCAAACACATCAGAAGAGGAAATTCAAGTTCGCATCTTTGTGAGATTTGGAGTGATAGTAAAATGAGTACACTCCGACAATCTTTTGTACTATTGTCGCGACAGCGATGAAATCATCCACTGAAATGAATTTACTCAACACCTTCCTGAAGGGGATCAAATAAAAATTGCAAATGCTTATTAAGTTGTAGTTTCTGTGACGGATCTTCTTCAGTATTTTCATGTGAATAGAAGTACCGGTTGTGTGATAACTTACAGAAATCTGCGCGCAAGTATGCGTTTCAAAGAGAGAACATCCATCATATCACAGGACGGAGATGACATCAAGCACATGGTGCTCAAAAACGATGCCGTGAATCAGTGTCCTTTAACCGGAGTGAGAAAATTCCCTGGTACCCTTACCTCCGGAAGGGGATAATAATGTAGCAATTTCAAATGCGATCAGTGTCAGTATACATGAAGTTCCTATTGAATATGCGGCAAAATGGGATAGGTATTGATTTCATCGGGGGTCAAAATAATGCGATCTGCTATTTCGGAGATCAGTTAATTTTGCAGGCGAGCGTTTAGTTTGTGATGGGGTGCGGAAGGTTCAGAGGAATTCATTCGTGGTTGTGAATTCTCCAAAAATACATTTCCAATAATACTAAGATATCATACCCACCAAAATTACTGATCTTCACACTATTCTGAGAACATTCCCTTTCTTAGGTGCAAATTCCCTCAATAAATTTGCTTTAATACAAAACTATCTTGTGTTTCCTTCTCCCTGGGAGTTGATAGAAGCACTTACTACATTCCTTTGGACACTCAGCTACATGGGAATCTCTAATTCTTCTGAATTAACTGATCCAAGATGCCTTAGTCGTCATCCTGTTCTGATTTTGTCAGCAGTGTATTCGAACCTTCTCATACATTCACGAGGGATTAGACGTTTGATTAAATATTACAAACATCGAGCTAACCATTCACCGATACTCAGGCCCACCCTAATTCAATCATGAAATTCGAACTACATACATATCAGATTTGTATCTAAAATGTTGGTACCAGTAGCGCACTATGATATATGAGTTCGGAAGTAATTCGGATGTGCGTAATAGACATTTAGTCACAATGAGTGTCCAGTTTATTTCTCAAAACGTCCACTACACTAAAAGTTCCAAATAATTTAAAGGTCACTTCGCTAAAGAGTGAGACGTCATGGCTAGCAATACGATGCACCTCGAATGTAAAGTTCCATTTCCTTGGACGGGAACAAAGTGGCGGATTATGAGAGTCACCACAGGACCTGTTCATTGAGATAGATTTGTTTCAAACTTCAAACAGAAATGAGACCAAATCTTGCATCACACTACTTTGTTCCGATAATATTTGGACGATAAATTCATTGCTGTGAAGATCAAGGACGGATCTGACGGACGGTCTCGACAGCTCAACTCCATATATCCCTAACATTCAGCTAAACAAACGTAGGCGGAGAAACAAAAACTGCGTTTTCTAATTATTGATATTACTCACTGAATCAATGGATCATTCCGACGAACATTCCACAACAAATATACGTGACCAGGTCAGAAGTTGCAAATTTACCATGTGGTACTACTTCATGTGGTAAAACTCACCCTAATCCGTATTACGTTCCACAGAGTACGTGATATACACTGCCTGAAAAAAGTATAGCTCCACCCCTCGTTTTTCCGTAATATCTGATCAGAACGACTGAATGAGTAGTGCGACGCACAGTTTAACAATTCACAACGAAATAGTTCCCTGTGAGGTTATTAAATCCAAATGTGTGAAAAAGTTGAATAATTAAACTACCGAACCTACCCAATTGGGTTAAAATACTTATTACTTTAAATCGTGTGCAACCATTATTCTACTACGACACATCTTATCGACGTACTTCTTACAAGAATTGTGACTATCCACTGGTCAGTATTCGCCTATTCTCGCTAAAAGGTGTTATCAAATCACTTTTTGACTTGTAAACCGTGCACATCGTCAGCAAGTACACCTCATATGTTCTCAACCGGGCTTAGATCTGGACTGTAGGGTGGCTACTGCATGGCCTTGATCTCACGGAACAGCAGCCAATATTATGCAGTGTATGCACAGTGGACAGGATCACTGTCATGTTGGAATATGGCACCATCAAG